AAAAATTTTTTTTAAAAAAAATTTTTTAAAAAAATTTAAAAAAAAAAAATTTAAAAAAAAAAAAGTTAAAAAAAAAAAAAATTTTTTTTAAAAAAAAATTTAAAAAAAAAAAAAAAAAAAAACCTATAGTTTTATAAAGCCAACTTAATTAATTATTTTTATTTGTTATTTTAATCGTTTTCTTTTAACTTTTTACTGCTTTTTAATAACCAATATTATGGCAAAAAGTTAATTGTTGGTTGTTGTTTGTTGATGTTTATAAACAACAAAAAAAAAAAAAAAAAAAGTTTTCTTTTTTATAAAAAAATATATTTCATTTTTTTTTTTTTTTTTTTTCATTTTATTAAAAGATAAATATATATACACAATCAATGTCTTCTCTTTTCTTACAATCATTAATAGAAAAGGCAAAAGAAACACCCACTATAATTAATAGCAATAGTTTTAATAACGAAAGTAATAATAATAAATATGACACCAAAAATACAACTAATAAACATCAATTTTTAGACCAAACAATTGACAACTTAAATAAAGAAATAGAAGATTTGGAAAATGAAATAAGATTACTATCAAATGGCACTGGTCAAATAGAAGAATTACAACAACAAAATAGTAATATAGATACTGATAATATTAATAATATGAATGATAATAACAATAATAATAACATAGATGAAATCGAAAATATAAAACTATTATTAAATAAATTTTTACAAAAAACCAATAAAAACTATCAACATCAAAAATATGACCACGAAGATATGATGGAAGAAAGTGAAGAGAATCTTTACTCAAATTATGAAACAGAAAAGAAATTTAAAAACGAAACATTAATAAAACATAACCAATTAATGGAAAACCTAACTGGATATAAAATTAACTATGGTATGAATAAAGTTTATTTAGATGAACCATCAATAGACGACAATAAAATAAATAGTTATACAGCATATATATTTAAAGGTCAATGCAATAATATATTTTTTAAAATTGAATTCGTTGTAAATAATAATAATAATAGTAATAATAATACACCATTTGTAAAAGATTTAATAATAAAAGTTCCATTACTTTATCAATTAAATTTTAGAAATTTATTAAATCATTGCACCAAAACCAAATCATTGGGGTTATTATTAAATTCATTTCAAAAAACTTCAAAAACACTTTTAAAGAGAAATCAATTTTTCAATTCTTTGTTTATAAGCTTATCAAATAAAAAACAACAGGAAAAAAATGAATTGATAGAAGAAATATCTAATAGTTTTATTTATGACAGTAAGATCATTAGTATACCTGGTGGTTATTATTCAAACTCTTTCATATTCCATCCAGACCACGTCGAACCTATATTTTATCTTTATTGGGATATAAAGTATGATATCGTTGAAGAACAAATTAAAAATGATATTCAAGTTATCGCCAATCCATTGCTATATTCAAAGAACCAAGTCGATCAAATCCAATTAATTTTAAATAGTCTTTCGGCATACTCAAAAATGAACAATTCAAATTTAAATAACCTATCCGATTTAATTATAATTGGCTTTATAAAGCAAAATCAAGATAAAAATAAACATAATAAATAGAACCCTATTTGTATAGCTTAATTATTTAAATTCAAATAATTTTTGGGTTTTTTTTTATTTTTTATTTTTTTATATTTTTTTCATGTTTTTTTTTTTTATGATAATAAAAAATTTAAATAAAATTCCATTTCCAATTTCAAATCCAAGGAATCAAAAAAGTCAACAGATAGTTGGTCTCTCAAAAAAATAATAACCAAAAAAAATATAAATAAAAAAAAATTTTATTTTTTAAAAAAAAAAATTTAATTTATTTTTTTCATTTTTTTTTTAAATTTTCTTTAGTTCTATATTTTTAAATTTATATAAATATTACCCATCAACATTGCGGATACAACAGTAATATCAAGATATAAATAATAGGCATAAAATAATAAATAAAAATAAAAATAATAGTCATTTTTTAAATAATAAATAAAAATAAATAAAAATAATTAATTATTATTTAAATTAATAGATTTAAATATTAAAATATTAAATTAAAAAAAAATTAAAAAAATAAAAAAAAGGAATAGAAACACAAATTATAACAATAAAAAAATATGATATTTAAATTATTTTCTATAATTCAGCAACATTAAATAACAATAGGATAAAATAAAATAAAATAATAATAACATAGTAATAAAAAACATAGATAAAATAAAATGAATAGTAATAATAAAAATGAAGAAAAAGTAAATAAACAGCAACAGCCCGATGTAATGTTACAGATCCAAAATTTTTTTAGTTCATTGAGTCCCCAAAATCAATCAGTTAATGCATCATCATCAAATACCAGTAATAAAGACCCAAGGTATCAATTTAATAAAACATCCTCATCATCCGATTTTTCAAGTTATACAAGTGTTAGTAATAATAATGGCAATAATAATAATAATAATAATAACTCAATATCAAAATCATTAACATCCACACCATTATCTAATGTATCGCCAAACATATTACAAAAGAATAATACTAATACAAATAATAGTAAAGTTCAATCACCACAATCATTATTCCCATTACACTATCAATATAGCACAAAAGTTTTACAGGAATTGGAGGATAAAAGAAAGTTATTAGTCGAACAATTAAAATCAGTAAAAATAAATTTAGATTCTCAAAGCGAAGAAGATCCAATATCATTTATTAAAATTAGAATGGAGTTAACAAAAGTTAAAAATTCTTTAGAAACCGAATTGAAAACACTGGATGAGTTATTAAATACAAAAACCGAAATTGAAGAACCTATTCCGACTCCAATAGATGGTATTACTTCATTATTAACAACTTTAATGTCAACAACGACAACAACTACTACAACAACTACAACTTTAGCGACAAATACACCCGTTTTGTTAAACGAAAATGATAATAACACTGTACTATCACCAATTCAATTAAATTCATTATCATCAAATTTACCTCCAAACTCTATACCAATGCCCCATAGTAAAAAATCTTCAAACTATCAACCCTCAATAATACCGATAGGTACACCATTGGACAACCCGGACCCCAACCAGCCTAGGTTTCCGCAAAGAGATAATATTTCTGTAAAATTATATGTTGACTGTGATGATTATTTTGCTGCTTCTGCCCAAGCCATTGAAAGTGTGTTTTATTTTAACTAAAAGTCTACATTAAATATTTTCGTTTTAATATTAACAATTTTATTTTTAATTTTAGATGCCAGTAGGGAAGTTTTTATTACAGCATGGTTTTTATCACCAGAGTTATTTTTAATTAGATTTCCAACATTAGATGAAAAATATAGACTAGATAATTTATTAAAAAGAAAAGCAATGCAAGGTGTAAAAATTTTTGTTATTTTATGGGATGAAACTAAAATCGCAACATTCAAAGGAAGCAAAAGAGCAAAGGATAAACTGGAGGAGTTACATACAAATATTAAAGTTATTAAGCATCCACCAATTATACCCATTTATTGGTCTCATCATCAAAAAACTTTAATAGTTGATCAAGAATTAGCATTTGTGGGAGGTGTTGATTTTGCATTTGGCAGATTCGATACTTGGTGTCATCACCTAATAGATGTAAATAGCACTCTTTGGAAAGGAAAAGATTATGTAAGTATATTGTTATTATGATAATTTTAATTAATTACTAATACAATAAATTATTTTTTATAGTATAATCCATGTATCGGTGATATGGGTGATATTTTAAACCCATTTGAAGATAGTATCGATAGAACTAAAATACCAAGAATGCCTTGGCATGATGTTATGGTTGGGGTTAATGGTTTTGCAGCAAGAGATGTAGCATTAAATTTTATATTAAGATGGAATCATCATAAGGATGATTATTATCCAGCTTTATATTTTGATACAACACCATTGTTACCAGTTGGCACCAGTCAATGTCAACTTTTAAGATCTATGGACGAATGGTCAGGTGGTGGTAGATTAGAGCGTTCAATTCACACAATATATGTACAGGCGATAGAAGATGCTGATCATTATATCTATATAGAAAATCAAAACTTTTGCTCGACCCATGCACCAAATGTTTGGAATCAAATTAGCTTTGAAATTGTAAAGCGTATACGAAGAGCTATTAGAAAGAAAGAAAATTTTCGTGTATTTATTGGTATTCCTTGTCAACAAGATGGTAAATTTACTGAAGAAACACATATTAGAGGTCTAATGCATTGGCAATTTGCTACATTAATACGCGACGACAATTCAATGGTTAAACAATTAAAAAGAGAATTCCCAACTATAGATTTAACAGAATATCTTTGTTTCTTTTCCCTCAGAACCCATGCTTATTTAGAAGGAAATTATGTTACCGAGCAAATTTATATTCATAGCAAACTAATGATTGTTGATGACCGTACCGTTATTGTTGGCTCAGCAAATATCAGTGATAGATCATTTATTGGGGAACGTGATAGTGAATTGGCGTTCGTTATTCGCGATGACACCGATACAATTAATACCAAAATGAATGGTAAAGATTATGTTGCCAGTAGATTGGTTTTTAATTTTAGATTAAGACTATGGAAAGAACACTTGGGCTTATTACCACAAATAAACTATCCACCACACGATCATATGAATGATGATATTGGTAACATTATCGATATACATCATAAAGAAGGTAATGGTAATAATAACTACAGCAATAGTAATAACAATATAAATAGTAACAATATAAATAATATGAATAATACTAGCAATAATAATATGAATAATAACAATAATAATTTAAATACTGGTGGTTTACCACCACTAAACCCAATTAAAAAAACAGCACCTTTGGGAATTTCATCAACTAACACACCATCTAAAAAATCATCACATCACAGATCAAATAGCTTCCAAGGTTTAGTTTTACAATCACCATCAAACAATAGATCAAATTTATCACCACAGGATTCTCCACAAGACTCTCCAAGACCAAAACCAAACTCTATAAATGAAACTGATCAAACAAATCCCGAGATTCTATTAAATAATAATAGCGATGAAGCTATGAATATATATAAAAAAGACAGTGTAATTATAGAAGACTATCAATCAGATATTTTAAACAACAGCTTTGAAAATGATTTTAATAATGGCCCAAATGACAATATAGCGAATAGTAATAATAATAATAATAATAATAATAATAATAATAATGATAATATTAATGGTGTTAATAATTATATTACAACAACACTACCAATTAATATTGATAATGACAAAAACAAAAGATCATCAATCTCGCCAACCTCCTCAACAAGCAAACTATTATCAATATCAGAAAATGATTCAAATATTAAAGTTGTATCAACAGATGGCAGCTCACCTAGAAGCAATCCTCGTTCGATATCAAGTTTACACGATTTTACTGAAAGCAGTTTTTGTCAACAAAGTAATATTGATTTAATGGATCCAGTTTGTCCCGATTTTTACTTTGGAGTGTGGATAGCGACTGCCGCCTCAAATACAAGAATATATGATAATGTATTTCCTGCAATTCCTAAAAACTCTATCAAAACTTGTGAACAATTTATTCATCTTCAAAAAAAACCCATTTCTTTGGCCGATACAAAGTTGTTGTCAGAAGTACGTGGTAATTTAGTATTCCATCCATTAGAATTTTTATCTGAAGAGAATTTACAACCAACTTTCCTCTTCACTGATGATCTATTCCAATAAATGAATAAAAAAAAAAAAAACTTTTATTAAAAGCTTTAATAACAAAAAATGAATATATTATAACAATATTTTATTTGTTTTATTTTTATAGCCCAGCAAAAAAATTAAATAAACAAATCTTGTAAATAATTTGATTAAAATTAAAATATAATTATTAAAAATGTTAAATCATTTGAGTTTTTTTAATATTGGAGCAATACTATTTAATTCTATATCATGTTATTTCATTCATTGATGACGTTCATTGATTACAATTATTATTATAATCAAATTTCTTCAATTATTTGCTATTGGTAATAGTATTATAATTTGATTAAACATCCTGAAATTTATTTCTATCCTTTTTAATACCTAAAATCATTTGCTAATATCCTATTTTATAAATCTATCTTTATCTGCAACATAATTATATCACACAATAAAATAATCGAAAAAAAAAAAGAAAAACTATGAGTTATTTTAAAATTTTATTTTTATCTGGATTAAATTTAATAAAAGTGAAGTTAATAAATAATCTTTTTAATATTTAATTTTAGTCTAAATATATTTACTTTTTTTTTTTTTAGTTTTTAAATACAATATTGTTAATTCTATATAATTTAATGATTATTTTCGATTTTCTTTGGTTTTGAGACTGAATCATAGGCAGCTTCGATGACGCAGTATGCTGAAAATAAAGCAACAGCTGGAAGGAAACCTGGTAAAACACTATTAAAAGTTGGTTTGAAAATAGCTCTGCTTCTCCAAGCGTTAATGGTACCAAAAATCTACAAGTAATTTATAAATTGAAGATTAATAAATCTCTTGATACCTGCATTTATTGGTGGTAATTAATTGTACAAACCATTTTTTATTTATATGTGATGGGTAGTTTTAGAAAACTATGAAAAATTTTAATAAAATAAAAAAAAAAAAAAAAGTAAAAAATTAAAAAAAATAAAAAATAAAAAAATAAAAAATAAAAAATAAAAAATAATATTTTTTTGTTTTTTTCTTCCAAGTGATAATCACAAAATTGGAAAAAAAAAAATAATAAAACAAGATCATCAATGTGGGGAATTAAATGAATTATAAAAGAATTGGATAAAAAGCATATACAAAATTTTTTAAAAATTTTTATCAATAATTTTAATTGCAATAAAAATGATTGGATTAATTAAAAATCTAAATAAATATACAAAATTATAAAAAAAAAAAGAGAATTTTTTAAATATACAAGGTGTTATTTTCTTTTTATTAGGTTTTTAGTTATTTACATATATATTTTTTAAATTATATTTCGCTATATATAGATTATATGGTTATATTATTATATTATTATATTATTATATTATATTTCACTTTTTATACAAATTGATTGATTATTTAATATACTTTGATTATTATCATTATTTGGAGATGTTTCATTTAATTCTAAAAGATCATTTAATAATTTCTGGGCTGAATTTAACTCGGTAATTAACATATCACAATCTGGTTCGTTGATTTTATTTCTTTCAAATGCTTTTTTAATTTGAGTTTGTTTAGCTTCTAATATTCCTTTGAATGCTTCAAATGCATTTGGATGTAAACCACCGCCAAAGTCAATTGATTGTTTTTTGACCTCTTCTTTAACACCAGAAATTTCCATAAATTTATTATTATAATAACTAAAATCTCTTTGTAATGAGGGTTTCTTTTTTAAGAATGATGTAAGATCTACGCCTTGATCCCACTCATCTTCATTTTCTTTAAATTGATCCATTTTAAGAGATCTTCTTTTGTTTGTTGTTGTTAATGTTGCAAGTTGTTTTGGTTTGGGTGGTATAGATGATGACATTAAAGATGTTAGTGACTTTGATGATGTATTTGTAACACTACCCTTAACATTAATTGATCTTGAATTTGTACTTGGTGAAGTAGCTGTTGAGGACGATGATGATGTTGTGGATGTTGTTGTAGTAGTTTTTTCAATATTTGGGCTTTGTAAAATTGTTGTCGTTATTGTAATTGTTGAATTTGGTAGTGATACTGTATTTGGGGTTGTATTAGGACTGTCATCTTCAAAATCTTCAAAATCTTTAAATATATCTTCTTCATCATCATAGTTTTCTTGTTTTTTTAAATTTTCATTTTCTATATTATTATTATCTTGTGATTGTTTTATTGGTTCAGGTTGTATAATTTCGTCGTCGTCAACTAAATCTTCAAAACCTTCAAATGGATCATCTTCTACAAATGGAATTGGGGAAGAAAAAGAAAAAGATTTTATTCTTAATGGTTGAATATTCATACTATTTCTTTTACTTGAACAGCTTTTGCTACCACTTAAAATTGTTGTATTACCTAAAGCTTTATTAAAATTTATCAATTCTTTATCATCTTCATTTGTTTCGAAATCAAAACTATCGTCATCATTGATACTATTGTCATTGGTGTCTATATTTAATGAATCAATGTCATCATTTGTTTCAAACTTATGGAATGGTATTGATGGTAATGATGGTGACATTGGTATTGTTGAAGCAGTAGGTGTTGATAGGTTTGATAATACTGGTGATGGTGGCTCCTCAGCGATAATTGATGTTGTTGTTGATGTGGTGGTAGTAGTCGAGGATGGCGATGTTGAAGATGATGTAGAAATTGTAATTGAAACTGATTTGTGGGTGGTAATAGCGTCAACTTTTGATGTTTTGAAAATAGATAGATCCTTTCTTGGGCTTAGGTGTTCTTCTTTTGTATTTGGTTCATTGGAATCTGGTTGGTTTACAAACTCTACTAAAGTTGGTTTAAGTAACGAAACATTTGGTGGTTGTGATTCAATTGTATATTTACACAAAATAATTGGATCTGTAGAGTTTTGAACTAAGGTTGCCTTTGATATCTTTGGAATGGAGGGAAATGATTGAAATTGTCTTTTTAAAACCGGTACAATTTTTGGTGCGGTAGTATGAATTTGACTATTTGACGAACCACTATTACTTTTATATGATCTTGATAGTATTGGAGAGCCTGGTGTTGACATTGATTTATTTATAGGTGGTACAACAACAGTGCTATATGATGATGGTGAAACCGATTTAAGATTGGGTGATGCAGTTCTTGAGGGAGATGGTGATGCGGTGGACTTTACCGTTAATGAATTATTATCATTGTTTGTTGAGGTAGTTCCAGTGGCTGTAGTTGTAGTTGTGGTTGTTGTGGTTGAAGAAATATATGTTATAACAGTCTTATTATTTGCATTTTTATGGGTTGTGATGGTTGAAGTTTTTGTTGATGTTGAGGATGAAACTGGTGTTATGGTTGAAGTTTGTGAAGATTGTGATATTAAAGGTTTAGAATCAACGATTTCGGGTATATTTTTATGTTTAATTTTTGGTAAGAAACACTGGCAACAAATATTTGGACGCCATTGATTCATTTTAAACTCTAAACATTCTGTAAAAACTGGTTTATTTGATTGATCCATTTCCTCTTCTTCTTGTTTTATGCTATCGGCTGAGTAACTATTACTACTATTTATATATTTATTTACTATATTTCTCTCTGATAAAAACAATGGAGAAATATTTATAGATGATGAGTTTGGTGATAAACAAATTAGTTCAGGTTGAGATAAACTTAAAGGATTTATTTCTTTTTTAATTTGTTTTTTTTCTATTTTTTTTTCTTTTAGTATTGCTATTTTTTCAACTAAAGGACTAAATTTATTTTTTTTTATATATAATTTATTGTTGCTATTGTTATTTTTACTATTAATTTCTATACTATTATTATTACTATTTTTTATATTGTTATTATCTTTGAATGGCTCTAAAGGATGATTTTGTAAAAAATTTAAACAATTTGAGCATTTACTTTTGTCCCATCGGCTTTCCTTAAAATTTGAACATTGAATTAAGGATATCTTCATTTTATAATATTATAAATAAAAACAAACTATTAATAACCTTTTTTTAAATTGATGAAAAAATAAAATTTGAACAAAAAAAAAAACAAAAATAATATTTATGTTATTATACTATTATTAAACATATGGATAAAAAATTAGGATGGATAAAGATTTTCTTTATTATGTGCGAATATTTAATATATATGAAACGCTAAAATGTTTTTTTTTTTAAAAAAATTAAAAAAAATAAATTTATTTTTTTTATTTTTTTTATTTTTTTTTATTTTTTTTTATTTTTTTTTGATATAAACAAGACTTTATAAAAAGAGACTATTTTATTATTTTTATAATGTATATGAATAATTTGAAAATTTAAAAAAAAAAAAAAAAAAAAAAAAGAAAACAATATTTAAAAAAATTAATTTAATTAAATTAAAAAAATTGTGAGATGTATTTTTTATGAAAATATTTTAAACGGAATTAAATCACGTTGATATTTTTTTTTTAAAAAAATTGGGTAATTACAAAATCTTTTAAAAAAAAAAAAAAAAAGTATAAACCTTATACTGTTTATTATTTGTATTGTTATATAAACATGTGTATAGTTTATTTTGGTGTTGTCTATATACCTGATTTAAATAAAAAATTCTTTTAACAAACAATATTCCAGGACAAATAAAAATATTATAAGATTGTGTGGATGATAAAATTTATATGTAAATGATTTAAATTATAAATTTGATTTAAATGTATAAAAAACAATTAGTTTGATTATTATTATTATTATTATTATTATTATTTTATTATTCCTTAATTTTATTTTATTTTCTTATTTATTTAATTTAAATAAAATAAAATAATTTTATTTCTTGAATTTTATAATAATACTTTTAATTTTATTTTATTATAAATGAAAAAAAAAACAAAAAAAATAAAAAAAAGGCACATATTACTATTCATCAATAATTGGTTTTGAAAATAAATCTATTAACACACATACACACACATACATATTTTATTTTTAGGTTTTTTTTTTTACTTTATAATTTTATTTTTATTTTTATTTTTATTTTACTTTATTGAAAAACACTATAGTTATATATAACACAACATGTAAAATACATACTATAGTACTATTAATATTACATATAATATAATTTTATAAAAAAAATAATAAAAAATAAAAGTATAAAGTTTTTTTTATTTTTGTTTATTTTTTTTTTTTTTTGAATTAACTGTTTTTTAATTAATTAAATAAAAATATTATAAAATATATAACAACAATATTTATATTATATGTTAACGAATATATAAATAAATCAAAAGAGAAAAAAAAAATAAAAGTTTTTAAATTGAAAAAAAAAAATAATAAAAAAAATAAATCAAACCCCCTCCAACACACAAAAAACAATAAACACAAAAAACACACACAAAGCACACACATTCTCTTTGAAGGAGTTAGTTGTGCAACATACTAATGCTATATTTATTAAATATATGTTTAATAATTGTTATGTGTATCATTATTGGTGAGTGTGTGAGTGAGAGGTAATGTTTTAAACAAATATTTTTATGAATATATTTTCTTGATATAAAAACAAATATATACACACATATTATTTATTAATATTAACATTACCAATTATATATAATATGGATATTTAATTTAAATTTAAATTTTAATTTAATTTTAATTTTAATTTTAATTTAACTCCAATCCAAGAGAAGAAATTTGTAATATTTGGATCAACATGTATCATTGATAATTATTATAATTTAGATTTTTAAATCTTATTAACTATTACTATTTATCAATTGATGTATGTGACATTGATGATAAATGGAATTGGGAATAAGTGAGTATTTATTTAAATTATTATCTGTATATACATATGAGTGTGTGTGTGTGAAGTGGGAATGAATTATAAATGATTTATATTTAAATTTTTTTTTAGAAAAAAAATAAAAAGAACCAATAATAAAATTTTTATATGAGTACCATGATCCGGGTGATATATTAAGTATTTTTTATTAATGCTATTTATTTATTATTACCTTAATGCTACTATTACTATTATTACTTTTACAATTATTATTTATATAAATTTATATATTGATTATGTTTTTAAATTGAAAAAGAAAAAGAAAAAGAAAAAATAAAAAAAATAAAAATAAAAATAAAAAGAAAAAGAAAATTTGAATGAATGATAAATTTTTTTATAAAACAAAACTATTTTAAAATATGTGATTAGTGTGTGAATGTGTTGTATGTGTTTTAATATATATGTGGGTTTGCTGTTGGGTTTTTTTTATTAGTTTTATTATTATTATATTGTTTGTTTTTTTTATTTTAAAAAAGTAAAAGACAAAAACACCAAAAAAAACTAAAATTAATTTTAGTATATGAGAAAAGTGATATAGAATTTATCAAATGGTGGTTCTCAGCCATCATATTTTTTTTTCCACAAATTAGGTTTAAAGTTTTTTTTTTTTTTTTATATTTTTTTAAAAACTGCACTTCTACACTTCAATTTCACCCTCTTCACCCACTTTTATATTTGATGTGTGTGTTAATTTTATGTGTGGGCGTGATGAATGTGTGTGGGTGCGTGCGAGCATGGGGGTAGTTATTAAAGGGTGTAAATATATTTTTTTTTTATATTGTTGTCAAGTAATATGAAAAAAAACTATTGTTTTTATATAGGTAAATTTTAAAAAAAGAGATAAAAAAAAGATAATTACTTTGTTGTGTGTGTTTGAAATAATTTTTTTTCTATATACTTTTTTATTAAAAATCTTTGGGTCATCTCAATGCTATTATGTTACAACAACCCAACAACAAACGATCAAAATTTGATAATATGAAAAACAACATAGAAAACTAAAATATTGATAATGATGAATATTTTAGTGGTAGATGTGGTGTCTGTGTGATAATATAAATAAAATGATTACAATCACAAATATTTTATTTTTGATAAAATGATTATAACGATAATAATGGTGATTTAATGCTAGATGTTTGGTTTTTATTTGATTTGTATAGAAATTTATTATAATCCAACTAAAACAACAATAAATAATAACACAATACTAAAACATCGCAATATGTAAGATCCTATTTAACATTCTATTCTTACCAATATAATGATTTGATAATAATAATTTTAAGATAATCCACTTTAGTTTTAATAATTAATAACGCTTTGTAAGAAGCAGCTCCTAACTGTATCACAATCACTTTAATCCTAAAATATAAATAAAATACTAACAAAGAAAAAAGAAAATAATAAATTTAAAATTTAACAAATTTAATTTAAATTTAAAAACTTTTAATAATATTGATTTTTATTTTAATAAAAATATTTTCTTTCTTTTTAAAAAAATTATTTTAAAAAAAAATTTATAATAATCTTTTATTTCTATTTTTTTATTTTATTTTTTATTTTTTTATTTTATTTTATTTATTATATTATATTATATATTATATATTTTATTTATGAAACAAAATGTTTTTTTTTAATAAATAAAATTTTTTATATTGACAAAAAAAAAAAAAAAAAAAACAGAAACGTGGTGTATTTATCGTTTTTTCATAGCTCATCTTTGATTGTTGTTATATTTAACAACAAAAAAATTTATGATAATAAAAACTAAAAGGCTGAAAAACTAAAAAAATAAAAAAATAAAAAAAAAATAAAAAAATATAAAAAATAAAAACCAAAAAAAAGAAATTTTTTTTTTTTTCCTTTTTTTAAAAAAAATATTTTTATTATCACATTTAAAAGATTATATTGAATTTAAAAGGGTTGATAAAAAAAAGTGAGCGCATTACACTCTACAATTTTTTTTATTTGTAGTATTAATTCAATCGGTCATTATCATTTTTCGTATTTTATTAGAAAAGAAAAATTGTAAATTTTATCACATTCAATACAAAAATAATTGTTTTCACCACATAATAATTTAATTAAAGTTGTCTTTTAATATTTATTATTATTTAAAATTCATTTACTCCCCTCAATCTTTTTTTTTTTTTTTATTCCTCAACCAATTTCTTTCTTCAAAAACACAACAACAATAAATAAACCCAAACAAAAACACACAAACCCACAGATAAAAAACCCCCAATTACCCATAAATTAATATTCGAATTTATAGTTCTGGTTTCTTTTATTAACCATTATAGTCTTTTTTAGATTTTTTTGCGGTTTTTACTTGTTTTCCTTAGTAGTTGCAATTTTTTTTTTTTTTTTTTATAAACAGCATTTTAATTAATTTAAATTCCTATTTTTTTTTTTTTTTTTTTTTTAAATTTTAAAATTTTTATAAAAATAAATTGGATATAAAAAGTAAATAAAAGAAAATATAAAAATAAATAAAAATAAATAAAAAAAAAAAATAAAATAAATAAAAAAAAAGAAGAAAAAAAGAAAAAAAGAAAAAGTATGTAATTTATTTTTTGTTCATGTGGTGTTATATAATTTAGTTTTTTAAAAAATAAAATAAAAAAAAAAAAAAATTTAATTAAATTTTGTGTTATTATAAATGGATATATTTAAAAAGAGAATTTTTTCTCAGTATTTTTTCGTTATATTGAATCAATGTAGATTTATACTTGTTATAGATATCATCAACCCAGCAACCGGAAAAAAAATAAAAAATAAAAAATAAATTAAATTCGAAAAAGGAAAAAAAAAAAAAAAAAGAAAAAAGGAGAAAAAAAATAATTTTATATTAATTTAGTCATTTATAAATAATAATAAATAAAAGCAGCAATCAACTAACATTTAATTAATTAGTTTAGAAATTAAATTTTATTTTTATCAATAATACAATAACAATAACAACAAAAATAACAATAACAATAAAACAACCACAAAAACAATAAAGGTAGGTAATATTAAATTTTTTTTTTTTTTAAATTAAATAGTTAGTTATAAATAACTATAGTTTTTTATTTAAACTTTATTTTTTTTTTTTTATATTTTTTTATCTCTTATTTTTTTTATCTCAATTACTAAATTCAAAAAATTACTTTTTATGTTTATTTTAATATTTTGTAAACGAAAGAACAATGGAAAAAATAAAATAAAATAATAATTAGAAGTCTTATTACTAGTTAGATCCATATGTATTTGCTGAATAAATACATAAATATGGTGTTTTAAAAACATTCATTGAAAAAAATTTTATTTTATTTTATTTTATTTAATTTTTTTTTATTGTTTTTTATTTACAAATAAAGAAAATAATATACTATTTGATTATTCAATCTCAACGGTACTATTGTTTTAAAGATACACCGTTTTTGTTTATTAAAAAAGAATCGTTTTGTATATTTTTAATTAAAAAAAAAAAAAAATTAAATTAAAAAAAAAAAATTTAAAAAAAACAAAATTTTTTTCCTTAATAATTGGTTTTTTTTTTTTATTCACATATAAGTCAATTTTCACAAAAAATATATACTCTTTTTATAGTTTTATTTAATACAAAAAAATATAATATAGAATAAAATAAAAGCATTACAGTGAAATAAATTGTAATACTATTTTTTAAATAGAAAAATAAAAATAAATAAAAAAAAAAAAAACTTTTTTTTTTTTTTTAGTAATAAATAACACACTCTAAAAGATAATACATTTTTTAAACACACACATAACACACAAATAATTTTATTTAATTTTAAAATTTACCACTTTTATATAATTTTTTTTTATTTATTATTTTTTCTTTTCTCTTTTTTTTTTTTAAAAAATAAAATATTGTAGTTCATACATGCATATATTTCTTTATAGATAGTTTTTTATTTAATAAACATTTATTAAAATTGTTTTTTTTTTATTTATTTTTTTATAATAGCGGGTATGTTTTCTTTAATAAAATAATATTTTTTATTTTTTTATTTATTTTTTGTTATTTTTTTTCTTTTCTTTTGTATGATTCAAGACGAATTTTAATTTGAAACTTTATAAATATGTAAAAATTAAAAAAAACAAGAAGACACTAATTATTAATATTTTTCTACTTCTTTTATTTTCACAGGATTTTAAAAAGAAATTCATAGAGGGCAACATTAAAAAAAAAATAAAAAAAATAATAATATAACACTAAATACAAATATATAGATAGTTTTTAAAATAATATTAATATAATATTTAAATTAAAAATAATTTTATAAAAAATTATAAAAAAAAATCAAAATATTTTAAAAAATTATAGAAAATTTCAGTTAGATTAAAAAATACAAATTAAATGGAAAAAATGGACTCAAATGAAATAAATAAAAGCAACAGCAACAATAATAACGACAATAGTAATAATGACAATAATAATAGAATTGTCGTTGAAGAATTAGGAGATAGATATTTTAATACAAACAGTGAAAGGAGTGAGGGTGATTTAGTGACACAAACACAAGAGAAACCCAATCCAACAAATTTTTCACTGAATAAACCCAAAACAAAATCACAATATAGTCCATCACCACCACATTTATACAAGTCAAATTCAACATCATATTTAAAATCAACATCATATTATAATACTAATAATAGTTATAGTAGCAATAAAGATAACAACAGCAATAGTAACAATAATAATAAAAAATCATCAATACCAAATACTCAAATGAACCCTACAAATAATGGTTCATCATCATCAACATCAACAGCAACACCATCATCTTCATCAGGTAGTACTAGTAATATTAGTTCAGGTGTTATTAACAATAGTAATAATGTTTCAGAGGTATCATCAGCAATTATTGGAGAGGATATAGTAGGAAGAAGAAGGGATAGATTTAAATCATTTAGTTGGACAATTGGAGAGTCAAATACAAATAGTAGATTTTCTGAATTATCAATGATTTCCTCAAAATGTAAAAGTATAAAGAGTGAATTTACCCCATTGTTTGATGTTTTAACTGTTTTTGATGAATCTGATAGAATAAGGCATAGTTTTATCCAGAATCATTATAAAACTTTACTGATCCAAAATCCAACATCCCCAAACCGTCCATTATTAACAAATTTACTTCAGAGAAGAGGTCACAATTTAACAATATGTCCAATTGACTTCAATGTAGTTTTACAACATATTCAAAAAGAAACCTTTTCTTTATTTATTTTTGATCCAAACGAATCTGTTATGAATAGTGAGGCCTATTATTCAAACAATCCAGTTTTTACTCCTACTCCTACCCCAACTTCAACAACATCAACACCAACAACAAATAATATCTTAAATAATTTGAATAATAATAATAATAATAATAGTTCTGTTGGTAGTCCAATGAGCCAAGCGTCAACATCTTCTCCAATGGTTCTATCACCAATGGTTTTTTGTAATAATAGTCAAAACAACAGCGATAATAACAATAATAACAATAGCAATAGCAACAATAGTAGCAGTGATAATAATTGTAATATAAATCAATCAAATAGAAAAAAATCATTAACTGTAAATACAAATTTTAAATCTCCATTACCAAATTCACCATTATCGTCACCAAAATCACCATTTAAAAATCAAAACGTATTTAATAATTTTTCAAATAGTTTTTCACAAAACAATATCGAATTTTGTAAAATGTTAAGATCTAAGGTTACTGATTTTGAAACCATTATAGTTTTAACAGAATCAAGTGATCCTTCTGAGTTTTGTCAATATATAGATGCTGGAGCAAACGATTATATCAATCAACCACTTTCTCCTGTATTGTTGGACCTTCGCTTAACCACTTGTCAAAAACTAGTAAATAATAATTTACATTTAAAGAAAGCAGAGCAACTTAAAGATGCCACAAGAAAAATGGTAACATGTATAGAAAATTCACCAGATTGTGTTGAAATTTGGGATCACAGTGGCCACATTCAATATTTAAATTTGGCATTTACCGAGACAACTGGCTTTGCGCGTTGGGAATTTTTAGGTAAAGAGTTTTCATCACTCATCGAAAACACTGAAATTATACCTAGTATGTGGACAACTTTAACCGATAAAAAGACTTGGAATGGTTTCATTAAAACAAGACATTTAAACAACACCGTAATATATTTCGATACCAGTATTTCCCCAGTTTTAGACCAATTTCAACAAATTCTTTACTACCATTGCACAAAAAGGGATGTTACACAAAAGAAAATAGATGAAGAATCAAAAACTTTGGAACAAAATAAAATAATAGAAAAGTCTCGTCTTCGTATTTCAATGATGAGTCACGATATTAGAACACCAATGTCAAATATTATCGGCATGGCTGATTTATTATATGACACTCCTTTAAGTAATCATCAACTTCACTATTTAAATATTATCAAAAATTCCTCAAATACTTTATTAAATATAATCAATGATATATTGGATATGTCAAAGGTAAGTAGATTGAGATATATGGATTTAAAATATGTATAAATTTAATCCAATACTAATGCTTTTTTATATTTATAATTAGATTGAGGCAGGAAAATTAGAAATTGAATATGAAAGATTTGATTTTAATTCAACAGTCTCTGAAGTCGTCGAATCAATGGCACAACGGGTTCAAGCAAAAGGACTAGAGCTTCTAAGCTATATAGATCCAAAAATACCACAAACATTGGTTGGTCCTTCATCAAGATTAAATCAAATTTTAACAAATTTACTAGGAAATTCATTAAAGTTTACAGATAAGGGTGAAATTTCAATATTTTGTCTCTTAACTGATGAAACAGATTCAGAATATGTGATCCGAGTTGAAGTTAAAGATACTGGTATTGGAATTAAAAAAGAGGCATTACCTTTATTATTTAAAGCATTTACCCAAGCTGAGGGTACAATTACTCGACAATATGGTGGTTCTGGTTTAGGCCTTGCTATTTGTAAAGAGTTGGTACAGTTAGCTTTTAATGGTTCGATTTCAGTAGAAAGTCATTATGGTCATGGTTCGACTTTTACTGCAATTTTAAAATTTAAGAAGTTTTTACCTGGTGAAACTTCAATTGTATTAAATCCTTCACAGCATCAATTAGAACAACAACATCAATCACATTCAATTCCTAATACTCCATTGGCAACTCCTTTGACTTTACCACAACCAATTCCTAACAATTTACCTTTATATCAAATTGAAAATCTTTCTAAAAAACAAAAAGGAAATGAATCATCACATTTAGAGTCAATTGTCGAAAATACCTATTCACCATTAGTAGAGCCAATGATAATTAGTGATCAAGATATACCTGATGCTTTTAATATTTCATCATCATCATCGACATTAGCAGCACAACCACCTCAACAAATTATTTCATCACCTCAGACATACAGTTCAAAATTTGATTTCTCTGGTGTTAAAATGTTATTTATTGAACGTAATGATACCAGTAGAAGTTATTTACATAGACAATTACAAACATGGAATATTCAATTAGATATGGCAGAGGATGGAGAAGGTGGTTTCCAACAATGGAAAAAAGCTCTTTCAACCGACTCTCCTTATTCATTAATTATTATGGATTCAAATACACCAGGAGTTGAGGGTGCCTTTCTACCGCTAAGAATTACTAGGGAGTTAGAAATTCATTATCAAGCATATACACCAAAACTCCCAATTATAATGCTAATGCCTATTCAATATTTAAACACATCAATAGAAGAAAAATTAAGAAATGCAGGTGTATGTGCAATCCTTTCAAAGCCAATTCGTATGAACGAATTAGCCGAGTGCTTTATGGTACATTTAGGTTTAAAGAGATACCAATGTCACGATAGTAGTATGGTTGGGGTTAGCAATAATAATACGAGTGGTGTGGATTCATTTTCAACAAATATTTTAAATAGTAATAATAATTTTGGTTCGATATGTTGGAATTTAAAGAATCAACAACAACACCAAAGAGATGATTTTTCACTAAAATCACTTGCAAAGGTTTTGGTTGTAGATGACAACCCAATTAATGTTCAAATTCTTACAAAAATGCTTCAGGCCATTGGTTGCGATATAGACTCAGTACTTAGTGGAACTGAAGCACTCAACAAGTTTGATCAGATGTCTCGCGTTGGTGTTTATGATGCTATCTTTTTAGACATTCAAATGCCCGATTTAGATGGTTTCCAAGTATCAAGGGAGATTAGAGAAAGAGAAAAAAAATTCAATTTACAAAAGGTTGCTATTATCGCCACTACTGCTAATGTTTTTAAAGAAGATCAAATTAAATGTTTCCAAGCTGGTATGGATGACTTTATTACCAAACCAATTAAAAGAAGTGAATTAAAAGACATAATTTCAAAATATAGTAGTTTAAACCAAAATAAAATTAAAATTAATAATAATAGTAATAATAATAATACTAACAATAATAGCAACAATAATAATAATAACAATAATATGAATAATAATAATAATATGAATAATAATAATAATATGAATAATAGCAATAATAACAATAGCAATGGCAATGAAAATCAACAAAATATTTTTATAAATTAAAAAATAAAAATTAATATTCTTTTAGATTTAGTTTATCAAATAAATTTATTTATTTTCTTTTTTTTTATTCGTTGATTTGTTTTAAAGGTAGTGGACTAATTCATTGGTATCTATTTTAAATTCATTCTTATAGTTGAGGTTCGGTAATTCTGCAATTACCATCTAATTTAACTACATATACAGGTATTGGAGAATGATGGACAAGGTATTCCGATACTGAACCCAGCATTAATTTTTTAAATAAACCTAAACCTCTAGAACCAACCACAATCATATCAAAAGGGCCTTTTTGATTTATATATTTTATTATTTCTTCTCTTACATCACCAATTAATATTTTTCTATTTAAATTTTTCCCTAAAATAAACTTTAAATTTTATTTAAATTATTTTTTTTCATATTATTAAAAATGAGAAAATTAGAAAAATAGAAAAAAAAATTGAATAATATTAATAATTTATAAAAATTACATTATGTTCAAGACAACGTCTCTCACAATGGTCTAATATTTTCTCGGCAATATTCGAGTATTCAATGATATTTGATGAAATTACCTCTTCAGTAATTAAAGTTGGATTATCAACTACTGTAATTAAATCCAATGTGTCTCGAATACTATTTAACATTTGAAATGTCTCTCCCAATGCTTTTAAAGAGGACTCTGAGCCGTCAGTGGCTAATAAAAATTTCATTTTTTTATTTTTTTTATTTTATAAATTTATTTTTTTTAAATATATATTTGTTGTATTTTAAATAATTAAAAAGAATATTTTAAATAGTTTTCATTTCGAAATAAATTAAAAAATAAATATTATAAAATAATAAATTAAAAAATTAAAAATTAAAAAATTAAAAAATTAAAAAATTAAAAAATAATTTAATTAAATTTATAGTTTTAGGAAAAGTTTTATTTATTTTTTTATTCTTTTGGTTTTTTTTTCCTCTTTAGATTTTTAAGGGTTTTATAAAACCAATTTAATTTTAAATAAGCCCAATAAAGTATGATAAGGGAATTAAAAAAAAAAAAAAATAATTATAAATTCAAAAAATAATTTGTATTTTAAAAATTAACCTTAACTAAAACCTAAACTATAGTGTCAATGGTATGAAAAAATATAAAATATTTATATTTGTATCTTTTAAAATCATCAATATTTAATAAATAAATAAAAAGAGAAAGCTTAAGATTATTAAAAAAGTAATTTTTATTTTTTTAGTTTATTTAAATATTGAATTCTTTTATTTTTATTTTTTAGTTTATTTAATATTTTTTTTTTAATTGAAAAAAAAAGGTGAAATCTTTAAAATTACAAAGAGACAACCTAAATAAAATGAGAAAAAAAAAAAAGAGTCGTTTTGATATAATTGTACACAGTTGTTTTAATAATCGAAACTGTAACCCATGGTGGTGTTGAAGACTAAACAAGCAATGTTTTGTTGTGATTGATCGACTAATTGGAGTGAACCTCTGTATTGACCCTAAAATTTAAATATTTAAAAAATGTGAGTAAATATGAAAAATATATATGTATCTATTAATTATAACATATGAATATTTACTGGTGGGGTAATAATTGGAACATTAATTGTGGTGTTGAATTGGAATGGACCTGCTTTAACTGGACATGAAACAATTGAACAAACATCATTAGTGAAGGTTGGTAAGTTTCTCCAAGCGCCGGCAATATAGTATTGAAGAGAAAAAGTTGAGGAACCAGCAGTAACATCAGATTCTAAATTTCCATTTAAATTAACAACAACAGGTTTACCAATGATTGGTGGATTTGGTGTAGCAGTGAGGGTTTGGATGTCAAAGAGAGCGTTATTATTATCTGAACAATAGTCCCAGATTTGTTGTGATTGGGATAAACCAAATATAATTGATAAAATTAAAACTAATGATAAAATGACTTTCATTTTTGTGTAATTATTTATTTATTATTATTATTTTTTGAAGGAGGAAAACTAAAATGATAAAAAAAAAATAAAAAAAAATTTTTTGTTTGTTTTGAAAAAAGTAAAAAGAAAAATCTAAAAAAAAAATTTTAAAAAAATAAAATTTTTTTATTTTATTTTAAAAAAATTTTATTTCGGATATTCAATTAAAACCTTTATTTACAATAATTACCTTCCTGGGGATAGTTTTAACCCTAAATATTTTCCATAGATCAAAAAAAAATAATAAAAACCTAAATATAATTATATCACACTATAATATAAATTATGAATACTCATTATTTATCAAATGTATCATTAAAACAAATAATTTGAAAAAATTTATTAAATGTTAATAGTAATTTTTTTTTGTATTATATTATCTTGTTAAATTAAACAAAATAATATAATACACACATAAATGATAAAAAAAATAAAAATTAACATCAACCAAATAATAATAAAAAATAACATCAATCAAGTAATTGATTTAAAACTAAAAAATTAAAAAGAAATAAATAATATAAAATTGTTTTTAAAAGTGTGGGTTATTAAAATTTATTTGTTTTTTTTTTATAAATTTGTGTGGGGGTAAAATAACCCTAATTTAAATAAATGTTTTTAATTTTTTTTTTTTTTTGTATCATTTTTTATTTTTACTTTTACTTTTACTTTTTTTTTTTTTATTTTTTTTTTAATCATTTTAATTAAAACAATAATAAGAAATTATATTGATAAATAATAATGAAAAATAAAACAGCTTTATCATTTTTTATTATTTTATGTTTAGTGCTATTTGTTAAAGGTGATAATATTTGGCAATACTGCCCAGGTACTGTCAATCCAACCTTTAAAATCAATTCATTAACTGTTGAACCAAGCCCACCGAAAATTGGTAAATCATGTATTGTTCAATTAGACGGTTCATTAGAGCAAGATGTTACATCAGGATCATCAACATTCCAAATTGAATATTTTGTTGCAGGAAATTGGCGTCCATTACCAGTAAATATTAAATCATTAAAGAAGTTTTTTAAAAGTTTATTTTTACTAATTGGTTTTTTTTATAATTTAAAATATATAATGTTTTAATAGACCTTTCACAACGATGTCTGTTCAATAATTTCATGTCCAGTTAAAGCAGGCCCTTTCCAATTTAATCATACCATCAATGTACCAATTATTACACCAAAAGGACAATATAAAGGTCAAATCCAATTAGTAGATCAATCAAATAGAAATATTACATGTCTAACCTTTAATACAACACTTAATTATTAGTAAAGACCACCATTTTTACACATATTTACTGTATGGATTTTAAAATTCATATATTTGAAATTTAATACATAAAAATAAAGAAATAATAAAATAAAATAAAATATAATACAATACAATACCAACAAAATACTTTAGTTATTAATTTTTTTTTAAAATTTTATTATTTTTATAAATAAATATATATTTGATTTTGAAAAAACATAATATTGTGTTATGAAACTATACGTTTTTTAATTTGAAAATCATTATCTACAACAATATCTGGACTAAAAGGTGTTTGGAAAGAAAGTTGTGATGAGCTGTATGGAGCTTCAGTAATTGAAGAATTAAATTCATTAAAAAAGTCACCATTTTGCTGAACTACAATACCAGCGTTTTGATTATTAATATTTTGGTTATCTTCATCTCTTTTTCTTTTCATTGATGATGTACTGCTTGGAGCACCTAAAATATCCATATATAAGCTATATTCGAAATTGTTTGCACTGGTTGTTGGTGAAACAGTGGCATTAAGGGTTGAAGCTGTAGTTGTTTTATTTGGGCTGATTCCTCCTTTTTTATTTATATTATCATAGTTTGATTTTTTAAGATCGTCTAATTCAATTTTTACAAGTGGTGATGGTTCTGAATTCATAAGGTTGCTAGTTGTACTTAATAGTTCATTTCCTATAATGGTTCCATCTAAATTTATATGTGGTGTTGGTAAAGTATTGGTTTGCACTGATTCTTCAATAGTTGAATTTGAAGTGTCTGTATTTAATACCAATTCTTCATGATGATTTAAAGAGTTGTTTAATTGGTGTTGGTGTTGTTCTAAAGGTTTATTTACATTTTGATCTTCTTTTGGTTGTGATGGTGGTTGTTCAAGTAGTTCTACTTGAATAACAGGTTCTAATTCGATTTGCAATGACTCTAAATTTTGATGTTGTTCATTATTATTACTATTTGTATCAACTGTTAAAATTGAATCTGTAATATTACTATTATTTTGAATTTCTTTATCATTTAAAACCATATGATTTGTATCGATAGGTTCCATTGTATCTAGATTCATAGGAGTTGATGCTGTAGAGTTTGTATCATTGTTGCTATTAGTTAATATATTATTATTATTGTTATTGTTAATATTTTTATTTAATTGAGGTAAATTTGCAACTTCTATTATTGGTGAAGCACCACTTGAGAGTATAAAGTTTTCAGAAACATAAGAATCTAAATTAATTTCAATTGGAATATTCATTGAATTATAATCACTTTCTAATTTAAAACCTGCTGATACATCCATATCAAAATCTGCCTGTTCTGGTGATGAATCATTTGAATCACTAATTGGTAATGAGGTAAAACTTGCACTTAATGGAATACCATTTGGGTTATGTTCATTTGGTAT